TATTGATGGGGAGAGTGAAAGAGCAGAAAGCTTTTATATTTTTTAATTTTTATTTGAGCTGGGAGCTCTCTTGGGCAGCACTGAGAGCCCCAGTCCCGCCTGCCCAGGGGCTCCCCGCTGCATCCCACCCTTCTGGGATGGCTTTGGCTTATATTGCCTTTTTTTGAGGGTTTTCTTTTCCCCACCCGCAGGAAGCAACGCGGGACAAAAAACCCAAATCTGCCCTGCAGAGGCCAGGGGCTGCATTCCCCCCATCCCATCAGCACCTCCTGAAGGAAACCTCCCCAAAACATCTCCGGCTGCAAGATTTCTAGAGGAGAGAATTTGGGGGAGAGTTGGGATTAATTAATTCAAGCCCAGGTGGAGGAGAGTTTAGCGAAACAGCAGAACAGCTGCCACATCAAAAGAGGCGCTGGGCTCCGGGCAGGGAAATGCCGGGGCTATTTTTAACTAATTAAATAGACGATTTAGCACCAGACTGATACTCTGCAAAAGGAATTCAAGAGAAAAGTCCGATTAAACCACATGGCTCTGATCAAACCCTTATTTCAAATCCCAGCCCATCACCTGGGGCCGTGTTTCCCCCTGGGGCTGAGCCCCCCTGGCTGTTCCCGGTCCCCGATTTGCCCCCGCCGACCAGGTCTGGCAGGGAGCAGCTCCAAAATCAGGCCCAGGGATGTTTGTTCCTCAGTGGGAAAAGCCAGAAGGGACTGAATTCATAATGCTGGAGAGGAGCCCTGACGCCACGGTGATGGTACCTAGTGATCCGGGGCTGGAAAAATCCATCTCACTGGGTCAGAATTGAAAACCCAACTTTATTTTTGGGGAAAAGAAATTGGAGTTTTATTTCCTGCCCTTGTTGTGCAAAGGGTCCCAGCCATGCTCTCTGCTTGCACGGCCCTGGCCAGCACAGCTGTGGGTGCTGGAGCTCGGTCCGGGGAGTCCTGGCCAAGCCCAGGCTGGACCGTGGGAGCCCAGGACCCTGCATTGGCAACATAAGGGTATTTAAATCTTTAATTATTATTGTGTTTTAGTGCTGGGCTTCCAAAGGGGCTGCATGGGATGAGATGGTGGGTGACGAACGACTCCAGCTCCGTGGGGACATCGCATCGCAGAGGCTGCAGAGATTTCTTGCTCCTCTCTCACCCGACAGATGTGACTGTGGGGGCTGGTGGATCTTCTCGTCGAGGCTCCCCGTCCCTGAGCACATCGGGGTGTTGTCCCTTGCATGCTCCCGGGAGGTACGAATTAAAAAAGAAGCCAATAATTCCATCTTTTCCTGCCTTTTTAGTAACTTTAGCAACCCCATGTCTTATTCCCTTGTAGTTCCAGGAGATGCACCAAATGCAATTGGAGGTATAGGGGATATACAAACCATAAATCAACATATTTACACATTAAGTTCAAATAGAAACACACCCTCGTTGCTGAAAAAGGCGTTATTCGCTCTCTGCCTTCTTTTATTCTCACAAATAAAAGCAGCCGAGGCTCTGTTTCTACAGGATATTTATCACAGAGCCACGTTATTACGCACTGTGCTCTTACGAGCTGGGAAGTAGCAGGGTAACTTTATTCTTGTGCTTTCTTTTAGCTAAATAATCACAAATTCTTAATTCAATTCTTAAGTACACCCGTCAGGGATAAATATGGGTATCGAGGTGTACTTGGAACATCCAGCTGTGTTGGCTTCGCTGAAAAACAACGCTGGGACGTGGCTGCGGGTGGGAGAGGTGGGGTTTTCTTTCCCTTCCTCGGTGCTTTATTAATATTTCTTTTAAACCATTAGAAATTCAGGTCTCATCTGCTTACACTGAGATCATCGGGGGAAGGAAAAAAGCCCGCGGTGGCGGAGCTGGAAGGGGTTATATAGGGCTTGAGGCACGGGGCTGCTCAGACCTGGGGAGACAGCTCCCGCCCCGGCACCATGGGCCGGCTCCTGCTCACCCTCTGCTTGCTCCTGCTCATCACCCCCTGCCCCTGCGCTATCATCACCGGGGTAAGTGCCCATCCCACCCCCACCCGGGACAGGGATTTTTATTATTATTTTGGGAAAGAAGGTCAGAATTGGTGCCTTTCACTCTTTGCTTTGGTTTGGTTTTTTCCCCCCCGATTTATTACCCGTTTCTTCGCTGCGTGGGTGCTGTTCCTGCAGCCGGCCCCAGCCCACGTGCGTGTAAAGTTGCGCCGGTGAGCTGCTCTTTCTGCTTCTCTCCTCAGCACCCAGTCAGACCCGACATGCAGGGAAATGGGGGGATTTTAGGAAGTTTTCCAGCAGGGGAAAAAAGAATATATCTTCATGGGCTTCCCCCAGAGCACGTTCCCAACCGGGACAAGGGCTCGAGCACCCCGGATTGTCTTTCTCCCTCCCAAATTCAGAGAAATGATTAAAAGAGGGGGGAATGTTGGAATGAAAAGGAGAGGTACGATCCTTACCCTGCTGTCTTTATGGGCTTTTGGGGCTTGGCGTGTCCGAGAGCTCGGTGCTGGACCAAGTTGGATGCTAAAAGCAAGAGGAGCAGCGGGTTTTGGGGACAGAATCCGGGCTTTTGTGGTGTTTCGGGAGTCAGGATGCTGGTTTTAGCAAAGCCAGGCTTGGCTGAAATCCCCCACTTCTACCCCTGGCAGTGAAACATCTTCTATTTAAAACCAAGATGAAGCGTTTGCGTCCCGACTGCCTCTTTGGCTCCCGGCTTTTCCCAACCGATGGAAATTTTGTGGTTGACTTCAGCTGGCTCTTGGCTCCTCTTTTCCCAGCCACCCCTTGTAGTCAGACCGATTTCTTTCAAGCCCGTCATTTTTTCGCCTGGATCTCCCCAACCCCCACATATCCCCGGAGCTACAAAGCCAGGTTGGGGGGAGCAACCTCTGGCCAGGGCCAAAGAGACCCAGCAGCTCTTGAAATTATTCCCAGGGCTTAAACGACTCATTTGGAATAACCAGAGCGAAGAGGTTGGATGTGCAGCTCCCAGTTGCCTGCAGCCCCCATCAGCCCCCCGGCAAGTTTGCAGGCGAGGGTCCATCCTCGCTGAGATCTGTTTTTTAACAGTATTTGGGTGTTACGAGGTGCTTTGGATGTTCGAGGAGAATCAGGTTCCCTTCAGGAAAGGGAAGACTCTGCAAAATCCCCTTTTTTTCCCCCCGCTGCGAGAGAGCTGCACCCTAAAATTATGCTCTGTCCTTTGCCCTCGTGTTTTTTTCCCCAGTTGCGATTTCCGCAGCTCTTCATCTGTACGAGCGACGTGGTCGTGGCTGGGAGCTCCTGGCAGAGAGGTGCCCCAAGGAGGGGGTGACCCTGGCGGGGCTGGGTGAGCGCCACTGGTTCTTCTTGTGCCACCACCCCCAGGTTTTGGGTCAGAGAAGGGGTCGAGGGTGCGATGAGCTGCTCCAGTGATGGTCAGCACAGCCCGGGGGGCAAAATGGGACCTGCTTGGTGCTCGAGGTGCCTTCGGCCACCTCTCCTCGACATCCTTGTGGGCTTTCAGGTGTGGCAGTGAGCCAGTGCAGCATTTACATCCGTGCCTCAGTTTCCCATCCCGGGGGGGGGAGAGGTGACCGTTTCCCATTTTACACCTGCCTTGAGTGGGAGAGGCTGAGATGTTGGCGTTACTCTGCTCCCTGCTAACAAAAACCAGCGCTGGGCGTTTGCATTATTTAGCAGGTTTTACAGGCGCAGGCGGGCGATGGAGAATCCGGACAGCGAGTCGACGTGGTGGCTGCGCTGGCCCCAACGCCGCCGCTCTGACTTGGCACCGATGATGCTTTTCAGTTGGGCAGCTACAAACTTTTCCTCTGCCCTTCCCATCACCGCGTGCACGAGGGATTGCCCCTTTCATCCTGCAGACCCCCAGCACCCCCAATCCAACCCGTGGCCCAAAACCTCCCCAGTGTAACCCAAAGTGGGAGAGCTGGGAACAACAAACCCATCTCCCTTGAATCCCAGTAAGGGGTTACACCCTTGTACAACAAAGTAAATACTAATAATGATAAGAATAATGATAATAATGAATAGGCAAAACAAACTAGATATGAGTTTTCTCACCACCCGATGAGCGATTTGCAACCAGTCCCTGAGCAGCGACTGCGGAACTTGGAAAACTGCGAATTTCACAAAACTTATGGAAAAGGCTAAACTCCCGAAAAAGGCTAAACTCCCAGAAAAGTTCACCCTCCCGGCAAAGAGCGGATTTGAACTCACGGAAACGAGAAGAAAATTTTCTAGCCCCTGACCCCGGCCAACCCCCATTCCTAAACTGAGTGTGATGTCTGTGGAATGGAATATTTCCATCGGCAGCTCCTGCACCCGGGCTCGTTGGCTGAAACTGGGAAACTGGGAAAAGTCCTTGATTTCCTAGCAACAACTGAAACCAGCAGCATTCCCGACGTCCTTCTCGTACTAACCCCAAACTGCAGCA